CCTCTCTGCTGGATAGCTCGCGAGGTTGGCCTCATGAGCTGGATACACCGCGGCGACGCTTTTGGAGCAGCAGGACTGGAAACGGCCATGATGCGGGATTTGGATTTTATGATGTGCTTTCTTTGAGATTGGACTTTCTTCTTCTTATTATTTACGGATTTGTTTTTGCTCATGTAATTTGTTAATGAAAGGTTATCCTGTTTTTATTGGTTCTTTGGCTATTACCCCCTTTTCTCGCTCTGCTTTGTGCTGACTTTTTTTCTTCTTATTATTTTCATGCTGATACTTATTACTCGACTGGATGTATTGTTTCTCTTCCGTCGGCTGTTGAGCTTCGTTCGTCATTCGGGACACTGTCACTCCCACTATCAGAGAGGCCTTTTGCATGCTAGCCGAGGTCTCCGTTTCCTGTAAGATCCTGCATTCTTTCGTCACACCGGGTACCGGGGTCTGTATGCGTGGCGCTGGGACAAAACGAAATCAGACAATGGGGGGGGGGGGCATGCATGATGCGGCCAGGGTTTCGCATTGGCCGAGCAAAGACTCCATATACTTTTGGTGCCACAATGACCGGTATGCGCTTCTCTTTTATTATCTCGCATTGCTCGTTCACAGGGTCTTACTTTATTTTATGAAATGCAACACAATTACAATCTTTCAATGTGCTTGGCGGATGATCATTCAGGGGCTGGACCACAATATTGCGATTTTACCCCTCTTGAAGGGGTATCATTACAGCTGACCCGAATCTTACCACAATAGTTGTTTCTTGTCTCTCTTTTCTGCTCTTTGCTTCATGTTTATCGAGAATGGCGCTCTCAGTGTTCTATTGAGCACTCCTACGGGCCAACGAAAGTACAGTAGACAGAGGGTGGGAGTATAATTTGATGGACTTGTAGTCAATGCAAGCATGCAGCTTCAGCCTAGAACAACTAAGCGCGAGGCTCTGGCCGTGGCTAGTTTTTTGATTCTCATCAAATTGACACGCTATCGATGCGAGTCTAAAGTATGGCGTCTGCCGCCTGTCCATCAGCCGAAGCCGCAAGCGAGCGACGGCCAAAGAGCCGCAGGCTTTGTGAGTCCTAGCGGATGCACTGTGACGACGCTGGCGCAGAGAACGATATATTGAGGGCCTCCCGGAATGTTACTCGTACTTCTCGGATCCGTGAGATTGTCTACACGTATGATGTTGTTTCCGTATTCTATCGGAGACGGGGGCTCCCCGAACTGTGCTGTATTTCTCGACAGGCTGATGTTACTACACCCTTGCTCAAGTCGTCGATACATGGACCACCCGTTCTGGGTCAAATACTGTAAAATTCCGAGCATATACTTCATTCTGTGGAGATGATTATAACGCATTTGCATCTTATTGGAAAAGAACATTGCCAATAGCAAGTTGCTACTGGATAGTGGCGTTGTGGTTCTAGGCACATACGACAATCGCCTCCACGGGGTGGTTTCTACTCGGAGACTTTTATACAAGACGGATTGGCATCTCGGTAACATAATGGTCTTGCTGAATGCAGGGATCGAAAGATTTTAGGTCTAGGATTCAGCCTGCTGGCACCGATCATGCATGCTCTTGGCGTTTGTTGTATCGAACAGCAAGTTAACTAGCCGCTCACAGTATAGGCTCTGCAGCTGAAAAAAAAAAGGCAAACAGCCATCTCGTCTTTTCCATACCCTGTCCTTTGTTTGAAAGATGTTGTCTCATTAACGGAGACACTCGGCGATACCTTGGCTTCAATGAAAGCGCTTCTGCCTTTTCCGCGTTGCGGAAGACTGAACAACACAACTTCGCCTTGCCTTATCCAGCTAGTTGTACGCCCCCAGTCGAGTTTAATAACCCTGCAATCATGGAAGCATATCTGGCATTCCTTCTTTTTTTTGCTTGGACGTTGTGCTGGTGTTATTGGTGTCTGATGTTTGCTGTATCGTATCGTAGACTTCAATGTTGGGACCCGACTGAGCAACTTTTTCGGGAAACGCTGCTTGGATGCCCAAAATCCCTTACAGGTACGAGTTTGTAACATACATGGCCATATCTGGTCTTGCACAGCACATGTTGAAACGAGTGGCTTCATTATTACCCGCTCAGTAAGAGTGGTGGCTTGCCATATGGGAAATTGGCCAACATGCATGAGGAAATTATCCCATTTTATTTACGAGACGACGTCACATTGGAGAGATACATCGGTGCTCGGCTCATCTTGCAACGAGAAAGAAAACACCATCTAACAGACGTTTTCACCATTGATATGAAGAGACAGTGTACAATGAGGTCCTCAGAGCAGAGCATTGCCAAGCGCGCCGTGTGAAGCACAGAACTGGGTCGTGATTCGGGATGAACTCGAGTAACACGGGGCCTGTTTTGAACGGCGCTACACAGCATTTCCCGTCCCCTGGGACCCATAACCCGGCCGGTCCGTCCCATCTTGACGTCCGGGTGAACCTGGTGAACGCTGGCCAGATTGTGGCAACAGAGGAAAGAGAGCACAGACGGACGCTACGGCAGGTGGTTTGCTAAAATAAGGGCTCGGGACAAGGAGTTGGGCTTGGAGCGTGTTATATGCGGTGTTTGAGCATGGAGCTTCTGTTGTGCTTGTCGAGATAGCATCGAGTGTTTGGCGTAACATCTGTTTAGCTCTCCCGATTACCGATGCGAGCTGTTGCGGGTTTCTCCCGCCATCGGTGTTACCAAAAGATATTCATGCTTAGGAACTACCTATACCAAGTATGAGGTATACATGTATGAAATAGAGATTCTGATTCTTTACACTGTGGTTTGCTTGTCGATGAAGGGAATGGAGGCGAGGGAAACCTTCTCACGCAAAGTACCGAGTGGCATATGGCTCGAACCGAGATGTACATCTTGCTCTCCCTTGCCGCACGCCCCCTACCTTTTACGAAATCCAGGTTCTTGGAGTTGAACCCCCACGCCCTCGGTGTTTGGCGTGCCGGTATCCATGTCAATGTCGATGTCATGACCGGCACGCCCTCCGTAAGAGAGACAACAACGACAACAGAGAACAAAAACAACAGTGGCTTTCCAAGCCGTGAGAAGGTTGTTGGTGATTCTCGGGGAGGAAACAACAAGATGTCGACGCACGCCCAGACAATGCAAACACACTCTCGCACTTACACACACACTTACACACACCTACATGTACACACATACGCAGGTCTGTTCTGGGCGGGACCCATGATGGAGCCCGTGTAAAGTACCATCCCATGGGTTCGTCGTCAAACCGGGGTGTCCGAGGCCCATCTGGGGGGATTTTTGGTTCAGAGGATCCGGGAGGATCAGAGACTCGGAGGACGGGCCAACTACGACCGCAATGACACGACAAACCGAACCGTCGAAAAAAGAAAGGCCTTGCGTATTTCTTACACTTTTTTTAAAAATCAACCGTCAACGACTTTGTCTCACATTTTATCGCCCGCAAGTAGCCGTCGTCATATCGTATGATGTTATGCAATTAAGACTTGAAAGGATGGGAGAGAGAGAGAGAGAGGCCATGGCGAGTGTTTATTTTTACAGCGCTCTCAGCAAAAAGTACGAGCACAACAGAGTCTGTCGGCCTTAAGACGTGCTGTTTCAATTCCGCACCGCCAAGCGCCGATGAGCCGTGGGTTGTGCGGCCGACAAGCACGGCTTACATCCTTTCAATCTCATGTTCTAGGCCGTGAAATCTTCCTCGGCGGCGGCTGCGACGCAAATCTCTTCGATGGGATCAGCCCTACCGGCGTCCTCTCTGCCTGTTGCGCTGCCATGGTTTTTTTTTTTTCCAAGTTTCACAGCATTTGCTCCCCGGAGATATTAAAAACAGGAGGGGGTGTGTGTGGCGGTACCCATTGAGAATGATACGATACGGACGACGGTGCATGAAGAAGAAGAAGAAGAAGAAGCAGGGAGAGGGAGTGCCGAGTAAGCAAATCTCGGGATTTCCGCACATGTCCGAGATTCGTCTCCTTGCTCTATCCAGTAAACTCGTGCCCGAATCCTCTCACTTGCTTGTGTGTCCTGTTCGGTTCTCGGCCCGCCTTCGTTTTTGGTCTTTTTTGCAAAAAGAGCCTTGTGGTAGTTGTTGTCCATAGATGACCCTAGTTGAACGCCATGTTGCCTCATGGGGGTGTTTTTTTCGACTGTCGTTATTCAAACCAAATCTTGTACGCCACGTTAGAAAGTCGTCGTTTGTTGTCGTTACTGGATGGTGCCATGTGTAACACCGTTGGCCTTTCCATACACAATGAAAGAGAGAGAGAACCAGTTGCAGGCGTTTCGTGCAGAAATCGAGTGTCACCGGCATACAATTCCGGCCCAACACGAGGATCAAATCTAAGTGATGCTGGGTCACAGCCCGAAAGCACGTCCGAACAGCCCATGTCCAGCTAATCAGCCCCGTACTTGGAGTGGTACAAGCTGGGGAGGGCGTACACCGGTGATCGACGGTGCATCGAAAGGGCCTTCCAAGGGCCTTGTTATTGTTACACAAGTCAGGGATCAAGGGGGGCATCCAAGAATACGATACGATTCAAAAAGAGAAGAAAAAAAAAGTGTCCGAAAAAGACGCGGACCCAACATAGCGCCGGCCGGTGAAGAAGGCCTAGTAATTTTTCCCATTTTCAAAAAAAAAGGTCAGGCAGTTTATGCTAATATGTCTGTGGGAGATGTGCAAGATATTCCTATTTTGGAAGGGCTTGAGCATATTGCCCAACGTGCCGCTGCCCAGACTTGAAGACGTGTTCCACCGGTTGTTTCCTCTTCTTCTTGCGTTATCTCCGTCTGATCAATCCAACTTCTCCTCCTTATCTGAAGCTGTAGTAGGGGAATAAATAGGGAGAGGATGACAGAGGCGGATGGCGTGATGAGAGAGTAATTGGAAGATAGAAGGGGGAAAAGGGGGGTGGAGAGAGAAAGGTCAAGTCGAGAAAGTAGCGTAATGCCACAGGGGATGATGGAAACTCGCTGTCTCATAATCAGTTGGATGAGTCTTTCAGTCTCGAGCCCTCCAGATGGCATCTGACATGGTTGTCACCAGGGACATCTCCCGAACATCGTGAACGCGTATCACATCCGCTCCCCCTTGAACTGCTGCTGCCACCGTTGCGGCCGTGCCCCAAACCCTCTGCGATGCCTCTTCCACCCCCGTCACCTTGCCGATGAAGCTCTTCCGGCTCGTTCCAACAAGCCATGGCAAACCCTGTAAGCCAGGCCACGCCCTGAGCTCCTCGAGACTGCGTAGCAATTCTAAATTTTGAGCACCCGTCTTGGCGAACCCGATTCCTGGATCCAAGATGATCCGCCACCTTCGGATGCCTGCTGCCTCGGCTGCGGCTACCCGCGACACAAGTTCAGTCGCAACGGTTGGCACCAGCCCATCTGGATAGGAAGCGAGCTTCGTCATCGTCTGAGGGTTTCCTCGCATGTGCATCAGGCATATAGTCTTGCCAAGTCTACCCACGGTCGGGAGCATATCAGCGTCTAGAGCACCCGCAGAGACGTCGTTGATGATGTCCGCTCCACTGGCAATGGCCTTTTCAGCCACGGCTGCGCGATAGGTGTCGACACTGATGGCAACGTGACGAGTTTCCGGTATAGAGCGGATGAGCTCGATTGCAGGCACAACACGAGAGGCTTCTTCTTCTGCAGACACCTCGGGGCGGCCAGGAGCCGTCGACTGTCCACCGACATCAATGATTGAGGCTCCATTGCGAACTAGTTCAATGACAGTATTCGACAGGCTTTCCAAGTTATTCCGACCACCATCAGAGAAAGAATCAGGGGTCATGTTCAGGATTCCCATGACGCTGGTCTTTCTGTCACGCACGAGAGGCGTCAGCGGTGCCAACGTTGATGACAGCGGAGTGATGGAGGACAGGGGCTCGCCAGGGGTGAGATCATTCAGATAATCCTGGACGAGTTTCCACGGTTGCGATGCGTAGAGCGGTTTTGACGGGATTAATCTGATGAGAAAATTGAATCGGTCAGTGAAAATCCTTCCCAAAGAGAACTTAAATAAGACAACTTACTCTGCTAGAGGCCTCAAGACAAACTCACGCTCCGGTATGCCGATATGAGGCACGCTGAGCCTTTCATTCTGCACCTTTTCATCACCATAGAGCAAGATATCCAGGTCAATATTCCGTGGGCCTTTGTCAATCAGCTTCTTGCGGCCCATATCACGCTCAATGGCTTGCAGTTCATCCAGCAGTCCTAGAGGCTCCAACTCGGTCTCAACCTGTGAGATGCATGCACCGTAAGCACGCTTCCACGAAATGACAACAGAGTCACGAATTGCCTACCTCGCAGGCACCATTGATAAAGCGGTCTTGGTCCGTCACATACATGGGCTCTGTTTCCCATAGACTACTGGTCCGCTTAACCCGAATGCCCCGTCGACTCATCTCATTGCACGCCTTTTCGATTTCGGATATGCGATCTCCGAGGTTGCTTCCCAGAGCAATGTATGCCGTCTTGGTTTTGCTGACAGCTGGATGGCAGCCGCATCCTGAGTGAGGTCGGCTGTGGGCAGCTGAGCTCTCCTTGGCTGATGCTCGAGATCTCGGTCGATGAATGATGGTGGTAAAGAGAGATTGTGTTGAAGGAAAGCATCGTGACGACGAGTGGAAATTGCGTGCCCCAGAGCTTTGCAGTCCCCGCGTTATCGGAGCATGATGTATTCGGAACCTCATCTCTTTGAATTATCCACTCTGAGATGAGGTGGCAAACCAATTTGTTGATGAAGTAGCTTGCGCTGAAGCTTACGACATGAGCCATCAAGTTTCATTTTTTCTAGCTGTTGCTGTCAAATCCATTGACCTACCCTGGAAGGTGGGGCCAGCGGCGTCGTCTTCTCCGGTTTCTAGAATAAGGCACAGAAGACACCAGCCAAGCGTCTGCACGAATGGATGCCTCGGTTGATTTGCTAGCTGCCGATTCTTGGACGATTCTCTCCGCAATCTTGGGGAAGATATACTCGTAGATTGAATCATTCCGGTCTACACCATCCGCAATTCGGCTTCTTGTGAATACGGCGAGTATACTAATCAGATCAAACCCCCGCGGGATGCGTCTGATGGTGTATACCTGTACGTATGGAAGACAATGCAATCACACTATCCGGTTTGAGACACCTCCATGCTTCTATGATGTGATGACACCTAAATCACTAGAGCTGATATCGACACTTGTATTTCCCCGCAAGCGTCACCCACAATCGTATTCAATTAGAAGAAACGGGAGTAATGCTCGTGCTTATGATCAAGTTCTCCGTGCTCGTACTCCGGATTCCCAAGCCTGCTGACTAACCCAACTCCACCACCTCGGCATCTTTCCCCAGAACTCCACCATGCACCGATACCGCCCTAAGCCCCCTTCAGCACTAACGCCCAGCCCAAGCCTCGGTTCGTCAGGGCCAAATGATGGACATGTCTGGAAAACGCATCTGCCTCCGACGGTCCCCTCTCGGCTCTCCAGAATCCAAAATTCCATTATTAAACTTGATCGGCCGCTCCCCCATTTCTCTTCCTTTCTTCATAATCATTCTCCCTCTGTTGTCCGTCTCTCTCCATACCGAATTCCTTTCTCTTCTCCTTTGATACCCTTTCCGGTTGTTGCAGACAGAATCATCAGTCACAATGGCTTCTCGTAAGTTTTTCTTTTCCGGCCACAGTCGCGTCTAGATTTCCCCCCCAAATCCAGTCTCCCTGGCTTCAGCACGGGCTAACCATGTGATTGTCGCGCAAAAACAAACAGAGCAGATCCGCACTCCCATCACCGATCTTTTCAAGATCAAGCACCCCATCTTGCTGGCCGGCATGAACGTCGCCGCCGGTCCCAAGCTGGCGGCTGCCGTCACCAACGCCGGCGGCATGGGCGTCATCGGTGGTGTCGGATACACTCCAGAGATGCTCAAGGAGCAGATTGCCGAGCTCAAGAGCTACCTCAACGACAAGAACGCTCCCTTTGGTGTTGACCTGCTTATCCCCCAGGTCGGTGGCAATGCCCGTAAGACCAAGTAAGCCGGAACCCACCTCCCAAAACGCCACCCGGGCAGTCAGTAATCACATGCTTCTGATGACGGCGGTGTCGGCTGGAGAAGAGAGAACCCCGAGAGATGGACCGAGATTTGCACATGCAAAACAAGGCTAACACGTTTTTGCGTTTTCTTTTAGCTATGACTACACCAAGGGCAAGCTCAACGAGCTGACCGACATCATCATCGAGGCCGGCGCCAAGCTATTCGTCTCCGCCGTCGGTGTCCCCCCCAAGGCCATCGTCGACAAGCTGCACAAGCATGGCATCCTGTACATGAACATGATCGGCCACGTCAAGCACGTCCAGAAGTGCATCGACGTCGGCGTCGACATCATCTGCGCCCAGGGCGGCGAGGGCGGTGGCCACACCGGTGACATCCCCACCACCGTCCTCATCCCCGCCGTCGTCGAGATCTGCAACAAGCACAAGTCGCCCCTGACCGGCGGCCCCGTCCAGGTCATCGCCGCCGGCGGCATCCACAACGGCCAGCTGCTGGCCGCCTCCCTCATGATGGGCGCCGGCGCCGTCTGGGTCGGCACCCGCTTCATCCTGACCGACGAGGCCGGCGCGCCCAAGTCGCACAAGGAGGCCGTCCGCACCGCCGGCCACGACGACAACGTCCGCACCATCATCTTCACCGGCCGCCCCATGCGCGTCCGCAACAACTCCTACATCAACGACTGGGAGACCAACCGCCAGCAGGAGATGAAGGAGCTCGCCGCCAAGGGTGTCATCCCCTACGAGGCCGACCTCGACAAGGTCCTCAACGGCGGCGAGAAGCCCAAGATTGAGGGCATCCAGACCAGCGCCAACGATGACGACGACGACGACGATCCTCTTGAGCAGTTCCGCCCCTTCTTGATGGGCAAGGCTGCCGCCGTTGTCAACGAGCAGAAGCCCGCCAAGGCCGTTGTCGATGAGTTCATTACCGATGCCGTTGCCTGGTTGAAAAAGGGCAACTCAATGCTGGTTGGCCCTTCATCCAAGCTGTAAAAAAAATATTGAGAAACGAAACCCATTTTTTTCTTTTATTTTTTCCTTCGGTCTTGTTTTCACGAAGCCCCGTCATATCTCCTTAATGTTTTCATGCCACTCCATGTAGACTATTCAGCATATAAATGTTCATAACTAGCCTATATGTACCAACAAAGCAAATCAACTGTTGAAAAGAATACAAAATGACCAGTATCCTCGTGATCGCATGTTCAGTCCTCCTTCAGGCAACCTAATTTATATTTAATTTCCCATTATTCATTCACAAGAGAGCAGTCAACTATCAGGGTTCGTTTTGAACATGTTTTATGCCTGCCATGAGAATAAATAAACTAGAAAAGAAAAGGCAGAACAAAAGACTCCATGTCTATTCATGCCAGCTATTTTTGACATCAATTTACGCCATTCTCGGGTACCTAGTAGTTTCCGCCCTGCCAACACCATCTCTGGTACTCCGTATCACCTTGTGAATCCCGCCCATTAACATTTCGCGCCCTCATCACCTGCATGATTTTCATCCCTTTGGAATAAAAGACTTTTTTTCATCCAAAATTGCAAGTTTGTCAACCCCTTCGTGCCCACTACTTACAAGTGGGGGAAAATCGGTAAGTAGTAGTACTTTTAACCATCAAGATAAGAACGGATAGCACTCTGTAGTTTGGTAGCACCCTCGCCAATGACGGTGGACAGGTTTTCCAAATCATCAGCAGCCGTGATTCCAAACTTGCGCACAAAGTCTTTAGCAGCCGACTCGAGATCACCGTAATCCTCAACCTCTTCTTCCTCCTCCCGTCCAAAGTAGGCATTTGAAGAGATGGCGGTGGCTCCCTCGAAACCTTGAAGGCGGGTCTTGGCTTCGGCTTGAGCATTGGGGTCATAGGAGCCCTTGCCAAAGTACTCATCAGAGGAGATGGCCTTCTGGGCGCCAAACTTGTTGCGAGCAAATGTCTCAGACTCGTCTACAGAAGTAATTGTTAGTCTATGGGGAAAAAAAAATGTTGCGAGAAGCGATGGTGACCTACCTGCAGCAGATGCCTTTACAGGCCCAACAGAGCCGAAGCCACCGGCATTCTTCTTTGCTGAAGAAGCCGAAGCAGCGGCCTTGGCGCCGCCAATCTGGCCAAATCCAAGGCGTCCCATGCCCATACCCAACCGCTCCATTTCAGCGTTCGACTTTTGCCGTGTGTGTGAGCTGCTAGCTGGGCTGATGGGCGTTGGGGAAATGATGGCGGCAGATGAGGCCGCACTGCTCTTTGTTGCTTGTTCCTCTTCGGCTTCGGGGTCATATCCGAGCTTGGCAATGCGCTCTGCCTCCTCCTTGGCCTTCTTCTCTGCCTCGTCGAAATCGATGATATCACCAGTGACCTTCTTGACGCCCAGCTTTTGCACCTTCTTGGCACCGAGAATGTTTGTCTTCTTGGCGCCACCAGCTGTGGTCGTTTTGCGCAGGGCAGCAGATGTAGTAATTCGGCTGGCCGCAGGCTTCGTCTCTGTTGAGTCTGTCTTTGATAAAGGCGATGCCGCACGTGGCACATCCTTGTTACCGGCGGTAAGGAATGGCGATGGGGTGCGGCCAACGACCGGAGGTGTCGCATTTCGTGATACGGGGGGCGTCGGCTTCTTGATCGTGGGCTTGTCCCAGGACGAGAAGAAATCATCATCTGGCTCTCCAGCAGGGGTGAAGCTACCATCTCCCTCCACAGCGTCAATGATGACTTCTTCGGGGTATCTAGCATTGAGGTTAGAGATTTGGTTCCATCATTTAATCGGGATCGTCGGGGTTAGCATACTCTAGAGCATCACGTGCGGCGCGTCGCTTCAGCTCATCCTTGTACTTGGTAGCGGCGCTGGATTGGTATTTGGTCTTGGGATCCTTGCTGTTCAATGCCGCGGTGCCTCCATTCTGCTGGAAGAACTTGGTCGCAGACTCGTTGCCGCCGACCTTCATTACTCGAAGCTGATCCCATTGCCACTCTAAACAGCGTCGTTTTGTCAGAAATAGGCATCGCAAATAGAGCAGATATCATCTTCGAATACGTACGATCCAGGTTTGTCGACCGCACAAAGGAGATGTGAACACCCAGGTTACGGTGATTGGCGGAGCAGTCCAGACACAGATAGATGCCGAAAGGCACCGATGTCCATGTGGGATTCTTCTGTCCGCAGTCAAAGCATATCTAAGGAGACAATGGCGCGCGTTAGTTTCCCGCAATCTCAAGTGCCGTCATGTTCTCGCACCTTGTTGGCCGGCTTCGTCTTCAACTTCTCGAAGATCTTGAGCGATTGCTGTTTCGACGCGAGGGCGCTCATCTTGGGAGGCGGTGCTGGGGATCCGAAGCGAGTTCGATCAAAGCTCTTTTGACTTCTGGGGAACCGCTGTACTGCCCGTTTATGCAGCGACCGTGTCAAGGGAGGACAGAGACGACGCCAGCACAATCCAATGTTGGGATAATTATTAAGGAGACTCCCGAGTCGAGGCTGGGCGATGCGGTAAAGTGGCATATCGGCGCCGCTAAACTGAATCGGGCCTGGTGGCCTCCCCACTCTCGACTTTCTGCCGAGGGCGGTGTCGCGCAAGATTCCGAATATACGAGTACATGTGCAGTCGAGGGAAGCTTCGCTCTTTGTTGTGTAGAAGCTTCGTCGAGTCGAGTTGCTTAGGCCATTGCGCTTCTCTGCCCGATTTCATCCTGACGAGACTTCTCGGTAAGATGGAAGCCGGAGAGCCGCCATGATGAAGCCAACAACGTCCGTCCCCGCGATTCGATTAGCCACGAATTCCGCAATTGCACAATCTGCCCGGCCTCTCTTTGTACGCCATTTTGCGTCTCCGACTGGCCTGGGAACCACCGCAACCCCGAAACCGAAACGGAGAAGCGTCACGCCATTTAACGACACCGGGTTTGTGCCATGGAGCGAATTATCAGCTGCTGAGAAGGCGGCGAGGGCAACCCAGCAGTCTTACAACTTTGGCATGATTATTGTTGGTCTCGTTTGCACTGTACGTTTTTCCCTAGTTGCTTTTTTTGCCAGTTATCGCAGGATATGGAACTAGAAGGGCTAATTGTTGGAGTTTAGGGAGGTGTTGGGTACTTCCTTTGGACGGATGTCTTTTCTCCCGAGAGCAAGACAAATCAGTTCAACAGAGCTGTCAACATGATCAAAAAAGACCACAGATGCCTTGAGCTTCTAGGTGATGCGAACAAGATTTCGGCTCATGGAGACGAGACCTTTAATAAATGGAGGAGGGCTCGACCCATCACGTAGGTATTTGCGAAGTGTTTGGGAACGCGGGACAGTACACTTACATGGTTGCAAAGGTCCACTGAGAAGACAGACTCCCAGGGCAACCAACATCTCATGATGCATTTCTATGTAGGCTTCAACTTTCTGAAACCCATCTCATTGTTACGAAATTGACTAATGTTCTTCAGGTTGAGGGCCCTCTGGCAAACGGAGTAGTACAATGCCACATGGTTATGCCTCGTGGTCAGAGCGAATACGACTACAAATACCTATTCGTGGATATCAAAGGCCACGAAAGGATATATCTGGAGAATGCAGACACTGCTGCCTCTCGGTCAGGAAAGAAACCTCTGACCTTTTTCGGAGTCAAATGGGGATAACGAATGACATCAAGGAGTCATTTGTCCTTTTGTGGGATTGTCTTTTGGAAGTCCATCACAAGATGGCCTTATGAATCGTCGAGAGGCAGTCATGTGTACTACCATTTGAGCTACGAGGTGCTTACTCTACGCTTTGAAAGCCAACCTTTGTATCATTAACTCATTTAGCCTATGCTTTTCAGAAGAATATTAGCGGTAATAAAACCCGTTAGCCGTCAAGGGCACCAAGAACAGACTTTATTCCAACATGATCGTCTCTAGGGCGGCGCAAGTCTCCTTAACATCTTGAATCGTCTCTCGAGAGTTGGTATTCTTTTGCGGCTCTGTGGTTAGATGCCGCTAGAAGTCTTTGATTTGCGTATTTGGCCGTTGGCAAACCCGTCTTGCACCTTGTCTGCGGGATTTTATGGAGTAGTTTTTATGCAGATGTCTCTATGGCTCTATTTTGAGCTCGCACCACCAGATGATGAGTTGAACGCCCTCCAGTATAGTATCCGTCCTCGATGTCGAGGGTCTCACAAATTGAAGATTCATCAAGTAGACAGAGATGTCTATGTCGTGCGGACTGTCTTATGGTGGTGTTACCGAGCATCTCCTATTTCTTTGATGGAATTGTTCTAACCATTTACGACATGAAAGGCCAATCTTCAAGGCGTCAATGAAATTATTTCTCTCTTTCCTTACTGCTTCCAGTTTCAACGGGTCAAGTATGTAGTTTGCGTATCAGGATGAATACCTTGGCCACTCCCAATTCTCTACTGACGGACTGCATGGATGCGTCATGTTATCTAAATTTAAGAAGAAACAAACATAAAAAGGTGAGATGGCTTGACTGATTTCAACTGGAGTGGTTTGCGAACACTACATATTGTTTCTTGAGGTTTACCCTTTGCCTTCTTGACCACAGTCTCTTTTCCCTCTTTCATCTTTGTCCAAGTCGTATGTGGGTTATCCGATAGTCTCTATATCGAAATTGCCGAAGCCTATGGGATATTCCTACATCGTTTTGGGATTGCTTTAGTGGCATCATTGCAGTTTGACATTGGGCAACGTCAGAACATGTCCAAGAATCAATGTGTAAAATGTTAGTCCTGCTCCAACGGGCGTTAGATACATTACACGCTCAAGAACATTCATTAATGGATAAATGCTACATTCGGCGATAATTATAAGAGGCGGCACAAATATGGGCATCTCCTAGCTTGTTTATCGGCCATATACAACTGCTCGAGGATTAACCAACAGCATCATTCCTGAGAAGATGACTAAAGCCATAATTGTTTGCCTCCCAAGACATGCTGATAAAAATGCATAAATGTCATGGCGGTTAATCTCTCTACCGGATTAGAATGCACCTGTGACAGCGCCGGTATTTGACTGCAGTGTTGAACATACCCGAATGTCTACTACTCCATCAAACCAAAGTTACCGACCAACAGGATCATCAACAATATTACCCAGCGAATAGGAACAAACTGACACGTTTCCATCAAGTATTTCCGCCGGCAAATATCACATCTACTCCTCGAGGAGCCTCGCGAACAATTGAGTTCCTTTCGCCGTTGCATCGATCTATTTTGCCATGCAGCCTCTGTCCCATCTCCTCGCATAGAACATCTATTTCGCTTCGCACACCTCCTTGAATAGAGCCGATATGCAAAGCAAAGACGCAAGGCAACTTAGTATTCAGCCGGGCAAGAAACTACTGTACATGTCCCTACATATTCGGTCACCGCAAGTGTTGCCCGCCCCAGTCCTGCAAATTAAATAGTAGAACCTCTAGAACAAACAATACCGAATCACCTCTCATCTTCCATGCAGAACAACGTCGGCATCTTCTCCCCATAGTACGTGCCACATCCTCCTCTCCCTCTTTACATGTTTCCTGCACATCGCCACAGGTCCCCCTTTTAAACCCGATCTCGGCCCTTTCTACACCAGTTTCGTTCCATTGCTTCGTACTTTTTTATTTTGATTTTTTGGCCCCCATGCGCCCAGACCTGCACCTCGACCTGCGTGATACCATATACACCTTCTCCTTTCCGACAAACTGGGCATCAATGCGGGAAGCACTGCAATCTTCAATAAACGCAGCAGAACCCGGGGCCCCGCGGACCAAAAAGCATTCATTTGGCCCATCTTTCCCCTGCAGCACTAAAAACAAGCGAATCTCACTGGCCATCTTCGCCCTTTTCTATCGTGTTAAGCCCGTCGAGATGCGTCACAGATATGCGGCCAGCAAACTGAGCTAATGTGGGCCTTTTTGTTTACAAATCGCAATGTACGTTGGAAAATGAGGGGCTTGGCCTTTTGCACAAGGGCGTGATATCGGGAACGCATCTGTCTAGGAAGCCAACCATGCTTTGTGTATGCTTATCTTGAATACCCCCCTCAATCCCCCCCTATTATGCAGAAGAAGAGCCGAGAGTGTGGCTCGCAATCGAGCACCAGGAGGGGGCGAGCCGTGTTGAAAAAAAAAGGCCGTATGAAGGGTAACGTCGGTTGGTTAAGGTAGAGAAGACTGCATATAGCGCAATCAACCAAAGTTCCTTATCCAAAAGGCAAAACGAAAGAGGTCTGGACGTCGTCGGCTAACATCGCCGGTCCTCCGCGATCACGATCGGTCTCATCTCCTCCTGCTAGATAGAAGCTGCTAAAGTCCTTGTCCCATCTACATCCTAGTAACGCATTCACGCAAGACAACGGGGAAGCCTCCGCAATCAAATCCAAGGTACAAGAGTTTGAGCAAACGCAAGTACACTACACTCACCCTCCCTATTCCTCATTCATGCGTAAAAGTAGTATGCGGCCAGCAGCAAGGAGAGTCGTCGTCAGGGTATCCTTCGAACCCCGCAGAATCGACGATACATGTTACTATTGTGCCATGTGCTGACTAGCACAATGGGGGATAGGTTTCATCTTGAAGGTATCTCACGAGCCTTTTGCAACATATTAGCGCTCATAACGTACTCGTATATCTTCTTGAAGGGAATCTTTGGCCCGGCTTTTGTTGCTTCGATCAGCGGCGCCAGAGTTATCTCACATGCTGCTGATGCTTATAACGAGTGGTTGGTCACAAAACTGACGTGATTCGACTCGTAAGTCGCCCAAGAGGGGGGCGTAGCGGGCTTTTCACATGTTTGCCTAAAAGGATGTACCTCTTGTTTGTCGATACAAAGTTATGCAAGCCCGCTGATTGTGTTTTGTTATCAATCTCGAGCCTCGGGAACTATCGGGTTGGGCTGTCAGCGGATGCCGATGGCTCTTATCTACATCTGTTGACAGCAAGAGAGGACAGGAGTTACATGGCGAATGGAGCTACTCCAAGGCATACTCTTCACAACCCATTTTGGAAGGGGCTTTCTATATCTATAGTGTTCACGTTCACGGTCACAAAAAAGTACTGTTGCAGCTGCTCAGATGGACACCAATGGAAAAACACAACCACCACCATGTAGCAACCCAGGTGTATCATTCACCCAGGCTGATTGGATCGTTGGGGTCGGAAAGTTTCCTTGCCGAGCCATTGGGGGGGTTGGCATCAGGGTTTTGGTCGGTTAAGCACCCGAAGTACATACACGTTCTCGGTCCGATCGATTCCTGGGATCTCCCTGCATCTCAATTGCACGGAGTATCTCCATCTCTCTTACTTCTGCCAACCGCTGCGGGACAGAATCCAGCCAAAGTCAAAACTCAATTTACACGCCGGGCCTCTTTTCCTTCAATCGGGTGAGCGGAAGGACAGTTGGTATGTCGGCACTGCCTGCGTGCCGAAGATATCAAAGATCTTGGAGATGCCAAGTGCTAGTATTTTCACATGCTTGAAATAGCCTCTTGTTCGGTTAATTATCCGAGAGATGGCGATGATATTGCTAGCTTTTGAGCTAGGGGGCTTTTGAGTTAGCCGACGCTCTTTGATGAGATTGCATGTGCGTACATGGCACTGAGCTGCCCGGACGAGTAAGATTCATCGCGTAGCTCTTGTTTCTCATATGCAAAAGAACTTGTTCGATGCTCCTCCGTGCTGTCGCATCGAACCCTGGGCAATTGAGGACACTAGGATTGTGGGGAAGACATTTCAAGTTTCCTGCTGCATCATGATCCATTGTTCGTGGGAGCGGCATTTACGGAGTAATTGGCATTACCCCAGCCTGGAGCCGCTCAAATCCACTTGAGCGATGCAGGCAGGGGAGTTGAGGAGCAAGTACGAGTACTACCTAATACTCGACAACGGACCTGTTGCAGCTTGCTCTGGTTCACTGGAGCCCCACGATGGCTCGATTTCGGCGGATTGAAGCGAATGGCATCCCCATCCCCTGCGTATCAATTTGGCGTTTCCACGGCGCAGTCCACTGTTTGCCCGAAGAATGGGAGGCAAGACAAATCAAGGGAAGCGGTGGAGCGGTAAGGAGAGGCACATATCGTAGATACATCCGTACGGAGTACACGTGCATCGGCTCTTGGCATTGGCCATGAGCGTAGTGCCCCCTTCGGCGCCAGCAACCTGCGGATTTAATATATTGTGCATGAGGCGTGAGATGATCATGGAAGTGGATCGCTATCATCCGATCGTGCTGCTTGTGTGCCGATACACACGTAGCCGGAAGGCCGGCAAATCAAAAGGCAGCATTGACGGGGTTGTATTCGGATCAATTGCGTCCTGCATGTGTTGTATGATAACAAGTCATGATCTGATGTACGAATTGTGGCTCCAGCAGTCGCTTGCGGCTCTCGTTCTTTGTTGGGGTTGCCGCGTCCAGGCTGCTTGCGGATCTCGTACGATGAGCCTTCGCATTTCACATTATGCCGGGAGCTGCATATCTGTACGGAGAGGAGATGAAAGTTGCGGTGTCCGTCGCCGGGTCCCCCCCTTCCGGTGCCTTGCATGGCATTGAACAAGGCCGCTTCTGCAGCGACCCTCCCCCGAGTCATTCAGCATCCAGGCACGAGTAATCCAGTTGCAGATATACAGGCTGGCATCGAGCAGCTGCATGCGGTAT